TCTTTTTAATGTGCTATTGGATCCTGTTTGCTAGGATCTTGTTGAGAATCTTAGCATCCATACTCATCAGTGATATTGGTCTGAAATTCTCCTTTTTGGTGGGGTCTTTGCTTGGTTTGGGGATCAGGGTAATGCTGGCTTCATAAAAAGAGTCTGGAAGTTTTCCTTCTGCCTCAATTTTTTGAAACAGCTTCAGGAGAATAGGTGTTATTTCTTCTTTGAAAGTTTGCTAGAATTCCCCAGGGAATCCATCAGGTCCTGGGCTCTTGTTTTTTGGGAGGTTTTTGATCACTGCTTCTATCTCATTACTAGGTCTTGGTCTATTCAGGTTGTCAATTTCTTCCTGGTTCAATTTTGGAAGTTTTCCAGGAATGCATCCATTTCATCTAGGTTGCTTAGCTTATTGGCATGTAACTGTTGATAATAATTTCGACGATTGTTTCTATTGCCTTGGTGTTAGTTGTGATCTCTCCCTTTTCATTCATAATTTTATTAATTTGGGCCTTCTCTCTTCTTTTGGATTAGTTTGGCCAATGGTTTATTGATCTTATTGATTCTTTCAAAAAACCAACTTCTAGTTTCATTGATGCGTTCTGCTGTATCTCTAGTTTCTAACTCACTGATCTCTGCTCTAATCTTGATTATTTCCCTTCTTGTGTGTGGAGTTGGCTTAATTTGTTGTGATTCTCCAGTTCTTTAAGGTGTAGAGACAGCTCGTGTATTCTGGATTTTTCCATTTTTTTAAGGGAGGCTTGGATGGCTATGTATTTCTCCCTTAGGACTGCCTTTGCTGTATCCCATAGGTTTTGGACCGAAGTGTCTTCATTCTCATTGGTTTCCATGAATTGTTTAAGTTCTTTGATTTCCTGGTTGATCCAAGCATTCTTAAGCAAGGTGGTCTTTAACTTCCAGGTGTTTGAATTCCTTCCAAACCCTTCCTTGTGGTTGAGCTGCAGTTTCAAAGCATTGTGATCTGAGAATATGCAGGAAATAATCTCAATCTTTTGGTATCGGTTGAGCCCTGATTTGTGACCCAGTATATGGTCTATTCTGGAGAAGGTTCCACGTGCACTCGAGAAGAATGAGTATTCTGTTGTTTTAGGGTGGAATGTTCTGTATATATCTATGAGGTCCATCTGGTCCAATGTGTCATTCAATGCTCTTGTTTCTTTATTGATTTTCTGCTTGGATGATCTGTCTATTACTGAGAGTGGCATGTTAAGATCTCCTACTATTAATGTATTCATATCAATATGACTCTTTATCTTGATTAACAGTTTTCTTATGTAATTGGCTGCTCCCATATTGGGGACATAAATATTTACAATTGTTAGATCTTCTTGGTGGATTTAAGAATGATATAGTGTCCTTCTGTATCTCTGACTACAGTCTTTAGTTTAAAATCTAATTTATCTGATATGAGAATCACTACCCCAGCCTTCTTTTAAGGCCCATTGGCATGAAAGATGCTTCTCCATCCCTTCACTTTCAGTCTGGATATATCCTTAGGTTCGAAATGGGTCTTTTGTAGACAACATATGGATGGGTCCTGTCGTTTTATCCAATCTGCAACCCTATGTCGTTTTAGGGATGCATTTACCCCACTTTCAGTCTGGATATATCCTTAGGTTCGAAATGGGTCTCTTGTAGACAACATATGGATGGGTCCTGTCGTTTTATCCAATCTGCAACCCTATGTCGTTTTATGGGCGCATTTAGGCCAAGTATGAGTTCTCTAGTTTTGTTTTTTTTCAAGATTGTTTTGGCTATTCAGGGTCCCTTGAGAATCCATGTAAATTTTAGAGTGTTTTTTCCTATTGTTACAAAAATTATTGAGATTTTGATAGAGATTGTATGGAATCTGTAAATTGCTTTGGGCAGTATTGACATTTTAATAATATTAAGTCTCTCAATCCATATACATGAGATGTGTTTCCATTTGTTTATATCATCTTTAATTTCTTTTAGCAATGTTTTATAGTTTTTACTCATTGTGAGATTTTTTTTTTTGCATATTTGTACTTAAACTTATATTTGCCATCTCAAGACCATGACGGAATTATTATATGTGAATCTTTAAAATGAACTATAAAATGAATCTATGTTCCTAAGTAATTAGAGGAGTTTATGGTGACTATAACATTGACACTAAGAAGCAATGACTTGAAGATTTAATTTAAAAATTATTGCAATAAGTATTTATTCACCACATACTATGAGCCAGAATAGTGTCTGTGCTAGATATTCAGAATCCAGTGGTAAATTTTTAAAATATGACAGTTTCTGCTTTCATACAACTTAGAGTATTTGTGGTTTTATGGGCATAAGAAATATGACATTGTATTACAATAACTTTGGTCCTCCTGGTGCTTCATGTGATAGAGGTTGGTCCGTGAGCCCCAGAACCTGGAACACTGGCTGGACTATGGTGCCTTCTGCCTCCTAACTGAGGACAACATCAAAGCACAGGAGTGTTTTCGGAAAGCCCTTTCCCTCAACCAGAATCATATCCAAAGGTATGGGTGGAAGGGAGATGAAGAATGAGTAGGAACACATAAGCTTCTATATGAAATTGTCTTGGTTCCATGACTGTGACATGGGACCATGTTGTGAATCATGTTGGTGGTCTCTTCTCAGCTTGTTGCTGTGTGGTGTCCTAGCTGTCCTTTTGGAGAAGTATGAGCAGGCAGAAATTTTCTTTGAGGATGCTACTTGCTTGGAACCAACTAATGTTGTAGCCTGGACTTTACTTGGTATGGTATTTTCCTGTGATATGAATGTGTTTTCTTCCATTATAAGATTCTCCCTTTCTCTTTTCATTCTTTAATGGCTTATCATATAGTTCTTAAACTTTTGTAAAATTAGGAAAATAGAAGTGAAATGTTGCAGTTCTTCAGTTTATGATGGTGGAAAAACCAGTCACATTTATCTCAACATCTTTCTTTCTTCAGGTTTGTACTATGAAATTCAAAACAATGATATTCGAATGGAAATGGCATTTCATGAAGGCTTCAAACAACTTCAGGCACGAACGTTTCAGGCACAAGTAATAAAGCAGAGGAGCACTGGTCCTTTTGAGTACATTGAAGAAGGAGGGAAAGTAGAAGAACACAGTTTAGGTCCTTGGGGAATCACTAATGGTTCTTCTGCAACAGCAATGAAGGCAGAAACCCCAGCAGGTAGGACCAGGAAATGGAGATGATGAGTGGCTATTGAAACAATTACTGGCCTTATGAATAGGGCCTGGCACATAGTAGGTAGTAAATAATTGTCAAATGATTCAGTAGATGGAGTTTTGAATTATCCCAGGGATACCAGGGAAGACTCCTTTTAATAATTCCTCATTCATATGATTGGAAGTCTGAAGCTATTGTTGCCATTCAGGTTTTTTAATCTTAGAGAATTTACTGTTTCTGTGTTTCAATAAGAGTGGTATGATTGTAACAGAGTAAATTTCTTTCATTTTCCCCTCACTTTCTTTTCCAACACTATCAATCCCTCTCTTGTGATTCTTTTTCTTTTTCTAAGAATTATTTATTTATTTGAGAGAGAGAGAGAGAGAGAGAGTATGAGCAGGAGGGGCAGAGAGAAAAGGAGAGAGAATCTCAAGCAGACTCCACACTGGGCATGGAGCTGGATCTGGGGCTTGATCTTAGGACCTGAGATCATGACCTTAGCTGAAACCAAGGGTCCGATGCTTAACTGACTGTACTGCCTAGGCACCACCACTTCTCTTGTGATTCTTGTTTATTTATTTATTTATACACATGTGTGCATGCACATGTGCGCGTGCGCATGCACGCACACACACACACTCCCTTTTTTCCCTATTCTTATCATTCTCCTTTCCTCTGTTTTAGGAAATTGATCATTCTAATCTGTTTAATATGTATTTTTGTTTATGTGTTTCTTGTATATGTTATTTTGTTTATATGTTATTGCATATTGTTATTTTGTGTGCATTTGTTTTTAACAGTTTGAAGTACAATTGACATTTCATAAACTGTACATATTTAACACATACAAATTGATATGTTTGGCATCTGAACACAACCATGAAAACATCACCCCAATCAAGTTAGTAAACATATCCAAAATCTCGTAAACTCTCCTTGTGCCCATTTAAATCTCTTTCTCTGGCTTCCACTTCCAGACAACTACCAGGCATCTCTCTGTCACCATCAATTAGTTTACATGTCTAAAATTTTAGAATTCTAGAAAATTTCCACCATTTTCTAGAACTTCTAGAATTAAATAGGATCACATAGTATATTCTCTTTTTTCACCAAGCATGACTGTTTTGAGTATCAAACATGCTGTTGTCTATATTAGTAGTTCATCCCTTTTTATTGCTAAATAGTATCCCATTATATGAAGATACCACAACATGTTTATCTATTCACCTGTTCATAGATATTTGGGCTGTTTCTAATTTGGGACTACTAAAATAAAACTGCAATGGATATTTGTCTACAAGTATTTTTATGGATATACACTTTCATTTCTTCTGGATAAAATATTTAGGAGTTGAATTGCTGGGACCATGAGTTATTTAGCAGTATGCTTTTAATTTTCTTTATTTTCTATTTTTAAAAAATATTTAAATTCAATTTATTAACATAGTATACTATGAGTTTCAGAGGTAGAGTTCATTCATTCATCAGTCTTATATAACATCCAGTGCTTATTACATCACATGTCCTCCTTAAGGTCCATCACCCAGTTACCCCATCCTCCTACCCCCTGCCCCTCCAAAAACCCTCAGTTTGTTTCCCATGATTAAGAGCATCTTATGGTTTGTCTCCCTCTCTGATTTCGTCTTGTTTTATTTTTCCCTCCCTTCCCCTATGCTCCTCTGTTTTGTTTCTTAAATACCACATATAAATGAAATCATATAATTGTCTTTCTCTGATTGACTTATTTTGCTTAGTGTAATACCCTCTAGTTCTATCCACATCATTGCAAATGGCAAGATTTCTTTTTTTTTTTGATGGCTGAGTAATATTCCAGGGTGTGTGTGTGTGTGCACGTGTGCACACGTGTGTGTGTGTCCATTCATCTGTTGATGGACATCTGGGCTCTTTCCATAGTTTGGCTATTGTGGGCATTGCTGCTATAAACATTGGGGTGCAGTTGCCTCTTTGGATCAAGGATCATTACATTTGTATCTTTGGGTTAAATACCTAGTAGTGCAATTGCTCATTCATAGGGTAACTCTATTTTCAACTTTTTGAGGAACCTCCTACTGTTTTCCAGAGTGGCTGTGCCAGTTTGCATTCCTACCAACAGTGTGAGAGGGTTCCCCTTTCTCTGCATCCTTGTCAACATCTGTTGTTTTCTGACTTAATTTTCTATGCTTTTAATTTTCTAAATATATGGGGATTTTTCCAGACATCTTTTTTAAAAAAATATTTTATTTATTTATTTGAGGGAAAGAGAGAGAGAGCACACAAACGGGGAGGAACAGAGGCAGAGACTAAAAAAAGAAGGAGACTCCCCACTGAGCAGGGAGTCTGATGTGAGGCTCGATCCCAGGACCTTGGGATCATGACCTAAGCTGAAGGCAGACGCTTAACCAATTTAATTTCACTATGGCTAGAAAAGATACTTTGTATGATTTGAATCCATTTAAATTTATTTTGACTTGTTCTATGGTCCAGGATGTGATCTTCTTTTTAAAAATTTAATTTTTTAAAAATATTTTTCCCTTTAAAAGGGAAACTTACCACTTTTTTTGTTCTTTTTTTTTGTATTTTTATTTTTATTTTTTTTAATTTCTTTTCAGCATAACAGAATTCATTGTTTTTGTACCACACCTAGTGCTCCATGCAATACGTGCCCTCCTTAATACCCTCCACCTGGCTCCCCCAACCTCCCACCTCCTGCCCCTTCAAAACCCTCAGATTGTTTTTCAGAGTCCATTGTCTCTCATGGTTCACCTCCCCTTCCAATTTCCCTCAACTCCCATCTCCTCTCCATCTCCCTATGTCCTCCATGTTATTTGTTATGCTCCACAAATAAGTGAAACCATATGATAATTGACTCTCTCTGCTTGACTTATTTCACTCAGCATAATCTCTTCCAGTCCTGTCCATGTTGCTACAAAAGTTGGGTATTCATCCTTTCCGATGGAGGCATAATACTCCATAGTGTATATGGACCACATCTTCCTTATCCATTCGTCCGTTGAAGGGCATCTTGGTTCTTTCCACAGTTTCGCGACCGTGGCCATTGCTGCTATAAACATTGGGGTTGGCCCTTCTTTTCACTACATCTGTATCTTTGGGGTAAATACCTAGTACTGCAATTGCAGGGTCATAGGGAAGCTCTATTTTTAATTTCTTGAGGAATCTCCACACTGTTCTCCAAAGTGGCTCCTCTCCAACACATGTTGTTTCCTGTCTTGCTAATTTTGTCCATTCTAACTGGTGTAAGGTGGTATCTCAACAAGATCCTAGCAAACAGGATCCAATAGCACATTAAAAAGA